GATGAAATAATCAATGGAAGCGGTAACGGATAAGGGTACCAACTAAGCGAACTTTTCATAAGAAGCCTCAAACTATGGGAAGCCAATAAATGAGAAACGAAGCTGTTAGAGGAGGAGGAGGGAGAGAAAAAAGTGAATTGGTTAGTTAGTTGGACAGATAGCTAACAGGCAGGAGTGTGTGCACGTGTATGTTAGCGCAAAATGTACATACGGGGCGGAAGGAGGGGGGGGGGGGTGTTGTAAGAGGACAGAGCAATGACCATGCCCTCCTGGCTTCACTATGACTCACAAGGACATGGTCATAGGCCTCTATACCCACAATTTGGAGGGTATATTCGCGCATATGACGATCAGCGTTTACGTGAAACAAGATACTTTAGATTGTACGCACAGTTTCGAAACTGATATTTTAAAAGAATCCATTTTTTAAAATAATACCACTTTTTAGTAGTTTCCATCATATCATGATTATCACATGTTTCGCACAATTTATAATGTCCAGTATTATATCACATGAACTACAGAAATGAGATAGAAAACCATGACAGCCTTTTTTTAGCAATCCTATTTGATTTATTTAAACGTATGTAGCGAAAAAAAGTTTCATAAAAAGGAATTAATAAAAAAAGATGATAACTATGACCTCTTTTATCATAACCTCCGATTAATAAGCTCCAAGCATCCCATTACTAGCATATGAAGCAGTGGTGTTGGAGAACAAGAGTCCTAAAACGTGCAACTCCTAGCCCGTAACACTGGAGATGACAAAAAGAGACGACAGTGATGTTTTTCCGTAACACTTCCAACAATACGAAAAAATTGTCGGAACAGAAACGTCATCCTGACCTCTAACTCCAACATCATATACAGGCATAGAAAGTCATGAGATGTTTGGGAGTCCGGGAACGCAAATGGTTCCTCTCCTTTATTGCTTTCATCATTGTGATTCTGCACTCGCCAAAATTCTATATACTTTACGAGCATAGAGGATGTAGTTTAAAATATCTTAAATGCGTATTCGCGGTCCATTCGTGTGCCTGATGACTCTTCTTACACTTATATGTATGCAGCCTATAGACTCAACCTGTTTAAATAACATGGCCGACAACGCGTTTGAAAAGTTTAAATGACAATAATTTGATGGCACTATTACTTCCAGTTACACTGCAGGTATAAATTAATGCGACATTTTGTTACAAGAAAAATAGAAAAAAAGCTCTCATAAAATTCTTGAATAAAAGTCAAAAGGTAATAAATAAGTGGTTAAAGTGCTCAAATAGAAAACCAAGGAGAAAATGAATCACTGTAACACAGCCTAGGTGGTCATATTTCACCAAAATGTTTTATCGACTTAATTGAAACATTAAGTCATCTGCCTACCTAAAATAACCAAACAATAAGTTCAGTTGGCAGAAAAAAAACATAAATTTAACGGGCTATATTTAAATTCAATAGCAATTATATATTGTTTCATTGCCACGTTCACATCGGTGGAAGAAAGAGGATTGTGATAAAGCAATAACTAAATTCCAATATATCTAAGACAAGCAAATTCCAAATTAAGACAGTTGAACCAAAAATAGTTGATTCAACCACTGAAGATAGAAAACTCAGATAGCCACTTTGAGGTAACTATTTGTGAAAATAAAGAAGCAAAGATCAACATTATGCGATTCATTCTCAAATCAATCCAATGAGTGGTCTCATCTGAACACCACTGATGTAGGTCATCAAGAAGTAGGAAGCCATGGAGTTTTGAGCTCTAATGTGGGGAAGCAAATTCTAAGAATCGTTGAAGATTTTTATGCACCTAAGAGGAATAAAACTAATAATTCTAGCTGTCAGATGAAATATGGTTCATAATTAGCCTAAAATACTCCACTTAAATAGGGGTTTTTCGTTTTAAGAGCTTTCGCACAAAAATATATCTGCATTTGTTAGTTTTGCCATGGATAATAAGAATAAATGTACTATGCTTTCTACCAATCACAAATTAGTTATAAAATTAAACAGTAATTGAAATAATAAACTACTCTGGAGGTAGCGAAACGGCATAGACAAAATGACCTAATCTTTTAATGTCAGCACAATTGCAGTAGAAGATCTGATTATATATTTTGTCAAAACGCCTGCCATTTGAAATAAATAAATAATATTTTGTCAATAAAATAGACAAAGAATGCAACAAGATTTGGACACAGAAAAGTAAAGGAAAAGCCACGAAAAATTTACTACAATACACCTCTTCTCACTTTTTAGAATACTTGCGAAGTTAAAACTCCGTTGAATTGCGAAAAATTAAATTGTTTTCATAGACCAGGCCAATTTGTTATGTTTATATCTTAGAATATTCAAAAAGCAATGGCTACATCAATCCCATCTTGGCACCCTATAGGTTCAAAAGTTAGGCATTCAAACACAAGGCAGGAATAGATAGTGATATATATCCACACTCGAAACAGGCCTTCCCTATCAGAATAAAATCTTCGAATTTTTCCATCCCACTCTACAATACAATAGGTACTTAACCTATGGTTTTAATTAATTAAGAAGAACCATATTCGTAAACGAAATCGATATCTACAGTTAAGATCGTAAAAATCGATATACATTAGCAACATTTAAAAGAAAAAAAGCATTAAAATTACCCAATAGACCACCATAATCAGATGAGCGGTTAATAAATGTGGCTCAGCAATCCATGTGATGATTGGAAAAATTTGAGTTTTTGAAAGTGAAATACTCATTAAGTAAATACTGTACGGCCTGAGTTCACAAATCAGGTGAAGATTTCTCAGTTGTAATCTTAATAAATTTCGATTTTCTCACCACCTTAGCCTACAATGAATTTAATTCAGAGGGAAAAATTGTACAATCTTTTTGGCAATTATGGAGATTATAATTGACTATCAGGCAACCAGTCGTAAAGTAGAGGAGAGATGTCTTGTTGAGATTTGAGGAGTGGGAGTAAGCGTTCGGTGTAATATAATGGAGATGAAGCATATGCTCTCCCCCTCTCTCTCTCCCTCTCTCTCTTGATCTGCAAGTCTTAATCGAGAAATCTGATTGGCCAACGCTGGCCAATCAGATAAACTCCCTAGCCAAGTCTCGCCTTTCCCTTCAAAAGGTTGACAAACGTGGCTCGCTCTGCTCTATCTCCAATCCGGCATGAATTAATGCAAATCGACTTCCCTGGGCCAAAGGAAAACAGAAAACTCGGGTGACCAATCAAGTAGGCCACCAAAGGTGAAGAAACAGAAGGAAGGGAAGATATCACAGGGAGCATGTTTCACTATCCCTTTAGACAAAGATGGAGCAAGCACTTATAGATTGCCAAAAAAAACACAAACCAAAAGAAAGACATTAAAAAATTTTGTGAATTTACTAGTCACTCATAGGCTCACACAATTCACTGCACGCACAAATGTGCACGTATTCATATGGCATAGTTAGCAAAATCAATACTCCCTCTACCTCTGTGTCTTTGGTCTTTAAATAATTCTCATTGCAAGTATTTGCGTGTGAAGGATCAAACTTCCTCCAGAAATCAACTAATACAGTAATCTGAAGCCCAATTTAAGTTGAGCGGTGGAGTTGAACATGTGCATACATATTTGAAAGGTTTATCCACTCTATATTGGCCTAAAACAAAAGCAGCGCTAAACTTACCGCTAAATAGGGAAAACAACCTACCGTTTAGCTGACAAATGAACCTAAATCACAGGAGGGCAAAAAAGGTCATCATAGAGAAATATGATTATTTATAGCGGTAAAGTATGAACAAATTTGAACAGATAGGGAGATTGTGGGAAGAAGTAAAATGAGTCTTAAAGATTACTATGGAGAATTTTATCACTGCTACTAAGATTTCCAGGTCTTATATGCGACAGATCGACCTCACTTAAGCCCAATTAAATAGGTAAATTGACAGCAATGTGAAGAGAAAAGATTCAAGCCATTGTACTGGGATTCACAAAGGTTGCTTCTATTTGCCCTAAATAAAAAGGGCTCTGAACTTTGTTGCAAAATACAGTTAAAGATTAAGAGACTATGATAGACGAAGAGTGATAAAATTGGGCTAAATATATTCGAGACTAAGAACAGTACAGTTTTCACAGCATATTTAAGCAAAACATGCATGATTTGGAAATTAGATTTATTTACAATCATAGGCACACAGGCACAAAAAAACAGGTAGGCGAATGGAAAATGGAAATAAATTTAGGTTTGAAAAGTAGAAAATCTAAAACAGAGGAAACAAATTGAAATGAAATAGTAGAGTAAAAAAAGTAGAAACAAGTTGAGCGTAAAGTATCCACCATTAATGATTTCGCTACTCTCAGAGAAAGTTACTATCGTATAGCAAAAATGAAGTTAAAGTTTTGTGTAAGTTGATGGACAAGAAACAAAAAAAACATAGTGTGCCAAGTACTGTAGGCTCAATCAACTTGGAATTTCGTTATATATCTGTGAATTTGAATTAAAGGTACAATCAGGCAGATGAATTAAAGCCCAAAGTACCTATTTGCAATCATGTGGAGAGTAAAAAGGATGTCTTGGAGAGTTAAGGCTCCCAGCAGATAAGTTCGCCATAATTGCGATTTAGAAATTAGGAAATATGCAACGTCTGCAACTCCGGATGATAACAGGTGATTATGTCCTAGTAACCCGAACAACAAACAAAAAATACTAAAATTGAAACGAATGAAAAAATAGGCCTTGAATTGTAAGGACTATTAAAAAGAACAAAACAGAAAGAAATAAGATTTGCAAGATGTAGAATTACTGAGATCAGATTGATAAATATTTAAGCAAACAAATTGAAGGATTGAAGAATAACTACTTACAGAGAATCAGAAATCGAAAATAATGAAGGCAAAACTAGTAGGCAACTGACAACTAATTCACATCAATAGAACGAAGATAATCTAGGACCTTCTATGTTTAAAGAGAACTACGATTCGATGATACATTTACGTAAGATTGAGTAGTGAGCTTACCCGCCGTTTCATTGGGCCGTATCCGTCGCAGTCAAGATTGGAAATACGGCGACGTCCAAGTTTCACAGCCTCCATAGGCGCCAATCAGCGATTCGGAAGCGCACGGGGCCTAACAAAAGAAATCGATAATTTAGGATTAAAAGGGAAGTCATTGTGTGTAAAATTAACACAAGATATTCTGCCGCCACAACAACAGCATTAGCGGTAGTTGCAAGCCAAATCAGCTGATTATCTTAGAGAGTTGTGGATTGGTGGTCGAGTTGGCAAAGCCAACCAATAGGTGAAGACTTGTATTCCTCTACCTGCAATTGCAGGCATGGAGATAAGCCATATATAACCACGTACTTATGGAGCACATGTGTGTTAAACACATTCGGCGTATCTTAAAAGCTAACATGTATTCCAAGACTTTAACACAAGTTAGCAATGAACTAACCTGATGTCAAGAGAAATCAGACCATAAAAATAAATATATTAAATAATGTACTGGGCAAAATAAATAAAATAAGAGTTAAAACAGGGTGAAAAAAGAGAGCATAAGGATAGTAAAAGATTACCATTAAGGATAAAATCTCTAGACTAAGTACTAAACACGTAATAGCATTCATTAGGGGATAGTTACTAAACGATGATTACAAAATTCAAAAAGTAAATAAAAGCTAAATTTGTATAAAAAAGCAACAATATAAGACTAAGATCAGAATAATTTAAATTTACGAGCTGTGCTCAGTTTTGACACTAAAATCAACGGTTTATTCTCAAACATAGAAATGAATTTGAAAATATATCAGATCGTTTTCGAAACGTGAAATTAAATAAAGTATTCTAATTTGTGTAAAATATGACAAGGAAATGATTCAAAATAAATAGGAAGACAGTAGTAACACGCAAAAATTCTAAAACATTTATTGAAAAATAAAATAACAGGTTTCCTAATACAAACAAACAGTGTGGGCAAAAATCGCAAACAATTGAGAAAAATCGGCAGAAAAATACAAATTTTATTGCGCTTAACCACAAAGCACACAGTAAAGATATACAATTGAAATTCTTTAAAAATCATAAATAATTACTTACGCTTTTTTGGTTGACGAAAAATACCGAAGTCAAAGACAAAGCTTCGGACACAGGAGTTACAAGACAGCCGGGTGTTTGTGTTCAAAGTGAAACAATCACATACACATCTTTTTGAAATACAATATTGAAGCAGACTTTTTTATAAGCTTGCATTAATAATTATTATATTATTATGTTATCTTTTATGCATCTTATAAAAATTATGATTATCGGCTTGTAGCAGTTTTCAAAAGAAAATGTCTGAAGTGTTGACGTGTATGGTTCGAAATTAATACAAAATTAAGTATATTTTTGGCATAATTTTTTCATTATATAAAATTATCCATAATTTGAGTATTGTCTGGTCAATATTACAATTTATAATTGAAATATTTTTCATAATTTGGCTTAGTTCAGTACATTTTATTTGCTAAATTTGTTGGCGCTATATTGTAGAAATTAATTTTCCTTTGAAGCCCTTAACGAGTTCTTTCCATAGCATGTCAAAACAGAGAGAGCTCACTGACTATTTGCAAAGTTATCACTTATTTTAGTTCTATAAATTCGCCCAAAATGCATCCTGCGATTTCTGCCTTCGTAAAAATAGTCGATGCAGTTGTAAAAATTCTCGCGAATAGAATAACTAAACAGCAGTTCTAATAATGCAATATTTTCCGCTCACCCCCCCCCACCNTCCCCCCCCCCCCCCCCCCCCCCCCCCCCCCAATATTAACAAGCTCTTTCCTATTCCATATTCGCAATGAAGAAGAATAGAAAGTGGAAAATTGGTTTAAACTTCAGTAAATACTAATTAAATTCAGTACTAAAAGCCCAAATACTGATACTCTCTATTGTTAACAAAAACAATATTCATACAAATATTTAATTTGTTCGGTGGCTAGTGAACATGTGTTAATAAAGATTTACTTTATTGCTGTTGGGAGAATGTCCATCTTTGATGATATTTGCATTGTGGCTGGGCTATCGTTTAGACAAACGTAGATTTTAGAATAGTGTGGTAGTTCTGGAAAAAAATCAGTTGCTAATCGAATGTAACTTCTCTATAAAACGTCCTCTACTTATGAAAACAAATGAAAAGTATAATCAGGAAATTAAAATGTTGTATTCGAATCCTTACAGTTTATTTTAAATCTCACACTTTAACGATGTGGTTTTAATGTTCCATTAAAAAGATAAATTTAAATCGAACAAGGCGTTTAATAATTATACACTTTTCAATATACAAGGGTATCCTTTTTATGAAGAAAGTTCAAGTCTATCAACTAGTAAATTTTAGGGAACAATCTATAAATTTTAACTGGACAATAAAAGAATAGATGTTTTTCTATTCCTATCGATTTTTCTTTTGAAACTGCCAAAGTTCAGTTATATTTTTCTACTGCTCTACCGAGGTTTTGTCATAGAAAGTACCTAGGACCTAATTTTACAATTCACAGCTTATTTTGCGAGTTTAGTTTTATGAGCAATCTTGATTAACTAAGCATTTTGAATATCAAAAGAAAGAATAAGCATAATTAATAGTCACTGGATATCATGAGCATTTAATTTATCTGGAACGTTGCAGGCAACTCCAGATATTTTGAATTATGGACACCAGAATACGAAACAATGGATTATACCCTTAGAAGGATAATCACAACCTGAATCCACAAAATCAAATTAAGCATAGCCGTTTATATCATCACTTTATTATCACAACTTCAACTTGATCCCTTCATTTCATTTTGGCCAGCATATGGCTTTTCATTTCCATCGGTGTAATATAAAAATGAATTGTCTTTACCCTTAATAAATAATGAGTTATTGTTAGTTATTCACAATAATTTGAAATTTATTAATTTACTGTAGCTGTTTGTTTTTCCCACGCCATGTTTTCTTTCAAGCCTATCATTAAACCATTACCTTTTTGCAGTGAATCCTGGGTTCGCGGCATTTCTGGAGGGTAATAAGGACATAAGAGCTATTACGCCACACAATTTTTGCATTATCGTAAATATTAATAAGATGCTTTTCTCATCGAAATCTGTTGATCAAAATACTAAAGAAAATACTCGCCTTGTCTCTAAATGAATACACTTCAATCACTGGCTCTAGGCGGCAAGAATTAATTATGTAGCCTTTCTGGTGAGCAATGCTAATTATGTCGCGTTAGTGGCCAAAATTACCTGAAGCATATGACCATTCTATTAATTCGTGTGCACCAGTCGTCATTGAATGACACGCTGATAGTTACTTCGCCTTAAATGAAATGCCATTTTACGACATGTTTACACCTAATACGTGGACATACATAATGTAGAACATGCATTAACAAATATTAAATTCACCTTATCTAACTGATTGGTCGAAATCTGCTTTAATCCAGACAAAATAGGACGTTCTACCTCTGCATTTATAAAAAACTGAAAAAAATATACTTATTTTAAGCCGAATTAGCATTTTTCATTAATTTATAAATGAACTCCCATAATCGTGCGTGGAAGTTTGTCAAGATGGAGATAAAAGGCGGTTTAAAGTCTACATGTTGGCTTTACGTAGATAATAATATAAAATGTCAAAGAATTCAATTCTAACAGTGCAGTATCTCTGGGCCATAGTGGTCAGTTGGTACAACAAGGGTTATTTGTTGTTTCTTCCCCACCAGGCTCTTGCGCAATAGTGTGAAATATTAAAATGCTTAATAATGAAAAACAGCATGCTTTCAGGGATTGACTAATATTAATTTTGAGGATTTAGTCGTCATTTCACTTCATTTATTTACAGGATTAAAAGCAAAAATTATAATGAAAATGAGTACAATGGGTATGCCCTTGAGTGTAACCCTCATTAACTAAATTCTAGCTTTCCGAATTTTAATCTGTACTTTTTCTTTCAATTTAGACATTAAAAAACATTTATTTTAAGTCCCAACTGGGCAGCGTATTAAGTTTTTTGCAGTCCAGGCCAATGATAGCATTTGGCTTTGATGGTTGAGAGCCGGATCGTTTATTAGTTGAATATACCTGGCTCTCTGAAGTATGGTAAGCAAGCAAATACGCTAGATATATGAGATCACAAGACAGAAATACTCCCTCATCTAATATGGACAAACGAATTATGGTAAATTTAAGATAGGTTAGCTCTAGCGATCTATGTAACGTTAAAACTTAATTATTACTATCCTAGCCGTCTCGCTGAGGTAGCTGACTGACCTTCCCAATTATTTAGCAATTCGTTCACTCTGCACGCGGCGGCACAAATCCGAAAAATTTTGATAGAGGCACATTATAACACAAAGCATTTTATTTTTCCGTTTTAATACATTGTCATTAAAGATTTCTTCTACCTGAACACCTTGCTTTAACCCAACTGGAACTCTTATAGTGTCTGCGTTTAAATACCTTTCTGTGATGAAAATAAGGGGTGTGCAATAGACTTACCTCCACGTTGTGCATCCTGGGCAATGTATACTCATACGGCAAAAAAGGTCTATAAACTGGCAGTTGACTTCAAGCTACCATCACCCCACTGTATGTCATATTCGAAATCTACCACAGTACTCACCTCGCCTTTTTTTACCTTTTCTACCTTCGTCTATGAAGCACTCTTCTGTTCACTCCCACCCCTTTCACTACTTTTTTTCACTTTGGCGTTCTTTCCCCTCTGTGAAGCCTGAAATCAACTAAAGGGCTAATGATAACCACCAAAACGCCTGCCATTTGATATAAATATAAGTGATGAAAATAAACATTGGAATCTTTTCATAAACATGCAGAATATCTAGAATGTATGATGTGAACACTGCACCACCCCATTCAGTACTATGATAAGTTATGCTATCTTGTTGGAAAAGCTGTTCTTGATAAATGACACGGCAACATGTGTGTCATTGACTTGAAAAATGAACTTTTCAGCCTTTTGTCATGGTGAGAAATGAATTTTCGTTAAATGTGCCCAAAGTGGAAGAAAAGGTCGAATTCTTATACTCTCTAGCATTCGATAGCAAATGAAAAAAAATGCTGTACTGATAATATAAACGAGTAAGGTAAGGTGACTTCTTAAATTTCGAAAGGAATACAATAGCTAAGGAAGTCATTGATTTCCTAATAAATGGCTTTTTCTTCAAACATTTACGTGGTGGTGCCT